TTAGGATCTAAAGAGCCATTGGGAGGTCATTTAGACGGACTGTCCAAGGAATATTGTGGTCAAATCTCACTACAGTAGTGAATAAGTTTAAAAGGTTTGAGGTCTGGAGTGAGGTGGAGGGGTTTTAGATTACTGAGTAAGCACTAAGCACCCTAGCAGTGAATCTGCAGGAATGGAGGGGCCAGATTCCATGGTGAGAATGAGACCGTTCACAAGTTGCTGAGGTGTCCCAGAGTGATTGAGAAGGTTGCAGAGAAGACCAGACACAGTTTGGGGGTCGTCACAACCTCTAACCTAGCGGTCGAGGCAAAAATGCCGAGTAGGTTTGATATCTGGTACCAGGATTTTGTTAGATGAGAAGGATGTCAAACCCCAAGGGGTAGAGATTCTCACCATGGGAAAAGGCAGAAGGTGAGGAAAGGTCAACTATGGGGATCAACAGTGACTCTGAAAGTCGTGGTTGCAGGTGCCCCTGTCCCAGAGGAGCCCTTGGGGGTGCCAGACACTCAATGGTCACTTCCCAGGCTCCAAAGGGAGATTTAAGTTGACCATGAAGGGGAGACTCACCAAATTGAAGGCCAGTGTTGGGCAAGAAGATGAGCAACCAGGGAAGTGGATGGTGAGCCCGTGGAGGAGGATCGGGCAGTGAGGGTTCCCAAAGCAGCTCAGATTCACGGAGGAAGAGCAAAGTCAACGGGAGAACCTCATCCGAGTCACGGCACCAATGAAAAGCTATCTCGCCGTGAACTTCCTTACCCCAGAATGACTCAGGAGACATGGGCCCATGCAAGAGATTTTATTATCTGAAAGAGAAAGTGGCTGCCCCCAGAGAGAGGGAGCAGCAGCTCGTGGGTGAGGAAGTGCATTTTTAAGGAGTAGGGGTAGGGTGTGTTCTGCATTGGTGATTGGATCTTAAGGGGTGGGGGTCTTAGTGTGCCAGAATTTGCCTTCAAAAAACAGGAAAAAAGTAAGGGTGATGGATCATAAGCAAGTCCAGATTTTAGCAATTCCACTAGATCTTAAGGCTCAGGAATAATTCTCTGTGGTTCTACACTCTACCCTTCAGGCCCATTGTGGTGGTAGTGTCACCTTGGTAGATGCAGCTCTTTGAAGGGTGGCCCTGCCCCTGAGGCACTGGATGGAACCATCCTGGTGGGACCCACCCTTTCAAACAGAAGAGGAACAAGCCCTGACCCTTGAGTCAGTGGTGGAAATGTCAGCCCTGATTTCTGAATAGCCTCCAGGGTCATTCTTCCCGCTTCTTAAAGGAAAAAAGCATGTTCGTAGCCAAATAGCTCTATGTTCCATCCTGTAAAATCCAGTAAGTCCAACAGTCTCCATTCTGTCCTATTTTATTAGTCCTCTTTAGTCCCAGCTGGCATTGTTTCTGCTGGTATAATCCCGTCTCTATTCCTGTCTTCTGCTGAGATGGCTGATTAAAGTCCAGGAGCTGCACTCAAGGTTGTTCAGCCACACCCTTCATATTCTCTTCAGAACAAGCTTTCTCTCCTTTTTTTTCCCCCAAATGGGTTAAGAATTTTCCACTTTCCAAGTTCTAGCTCCTTTTTTACTTAACAGTTCCTCCTCACCTTTCTCCTCTTGCATTTTACTATAAGCAGTAAGGATGACCCAACAGCACCTTCAATACTTTGCTTAGAAATCTACTAAATATCCAATTTCATCCCTTGCAAGTTCTCAAAAAACACTAGAACACAATTCAGCCAAGTTCTTTGCCACTTTTTAACAAGGCCCACTTTCCTCCAGTTTCCAAGAACCTGTTCCTCATTTCCATCCAAGCCCTCACTGCAATGGCCTTTAACATACATAGCTCTACCAACATTTCTGTTTGTTACTATTTATGCATTTCTATAAGAAGACAGAAGCCTTGTTTCCATCTCTACTCATTCTTTCTGAGTCCTCACCAGAATTGCCTTTAATGTCCTTATGCCTACCAACAGTTCCTCCAAAGCAATCTTGGCTTTTTCTAGCATGTGCCTCACAACTCTTCAAGACTCTACCCATCACACAGCTCCAAAGGCACTTCCATATTTTTAGGTATTCTTTGAGCAGCACTCCAACTCCTGTTACAAAAATCTGTATTACTCAAGTTTCTCCAGAGAAAGAGAACCAATAGGATACATATACATATACATATATCTCCTGTTGGACTTATATTTATAAAAAAAGATTTATTCTAAGGAATGGACTCATGAGAAGTCCCACAAGCTGCAGCTGGCAAACTGAAGACCCAGGAGAGTTGAGGGTATAAGTTCCAGTCTGAAAGCTGGCAACCTTAAGACCCAAGAGCAAATGCCTCATTCAAGTCCAAAGGCAAGAAAAACTCAATGTTGCTGCTCAATGCAGTCAGGCAGTTTGATTTCCCTCTTACTCAAGAGAGTGCCTTTCATGTGGCAATGACAATTGAGGGGACAGAATATTACAATTTTAAAGTTATAAGGACACTTAAGCAGAGGTACCCATGGTTACACACACAGTTCAGTAGTATTAAAATCTAGAACAAAAACTCAGGCCTTCTGTATCCAGTCCCACAGATATTCTATTCTTCCTCATTCAACTACCTCCTAATGCAGACCAGAGAAGACTGAAGAAACCTTCATCTACTGTGTTCCACTAATCTAGGAAGAAAAAGAAAATGTCTGGGTTAATGTAACTCCAGGGAGAGGAAATCCCAGGGCAAAATACCTCTAAAATCAAAATCAGTCAAAGGGAGAAATAAAGTTTAAAACCCATTTATTGCTTACAAACTATAGTCCAGGGCCATCTCTTGCCTGCTCTGGCAGAAGCAAGCAAGACCTCCCCCTAACCTCTCAAGTTCAGATAAGCCCGTGGTGGCCCAGGTAATTACCCACTGATATGGAGATGAACTACCATTCTCCACCCCTGAGGAACACCTGTTGATATGCAGATGCACTAAAGCCAGATATTCTGGAAATATTACAATTTTACCCAAAGTTAGCATATACAATATTTCATTTTTTTAAGAATGGAAACATTTTTTTAACTTCTCTCCTTTCAAATTTAGAAAAACAGAATTATGCATAGTGTCTACTATTTTAACAAACATTACACTAAAAATACCTTAAATATTATTTTAAATCTTTCATATAAAGATGTGAGAGGTGTGTGTTTCATTATCTCACAGGACAGAAATTTATGCATCAAGTCAGTAAGGTCACGGAGCTAGTGAAATTCTTTCATACTCAGTTTTACACTATCATCAGTCAGGAAAGGATGGAGAAAATACAAGAGGGTGAATAGGTCAGAGAATGGAAATAAGATTTTTAACAAAGTATAAAAGGAACAAGAATTAATTCATTTACTGATACACAGTCTTAAAAATAAAACCAAAGCAACACTTTAAATATAAGTTAATTAAACAAAATGTTTCAAGAAACTCTCACATTGATTGCCTTTGGAGAGAGGAACTGTTTGGCTGGGGCCAGGGTTTCAAGGGGACTTTTCACAGTAACTTTTAGATTGTGACCCTTTGTAACGTTTAGATTGCAACAGTAACAATCTATTACCTACTCCAATAAAGAATTTTTTAATTGAAATTTATCAGTTCCTACCAATAGTTTTGTACTTACTAGCATTCTACAGTCCCCTATGAGGCTGCAGAAAAAAAGAAATTTCAGGGAAGAAAAATCCTAACTGTTCTGAAAAGGGAAGGGAGACATTACGCTAAGGGAGAGGAGTTTCTTTTGGGGATGGGAATCAGGAAGGGGAGAGAAGCAGATTGCCAAAAAAAAAATCACTATTTGATTAACTCAGTTCTGTTGCTATTATTTTTAGTTCACCATTTTAGTCCGTTGCTAAGGAACCCTATTGCTTAAAAGCAATTTACTAATAGGAACCTACATAAAGAAAGAAAAAAAGCAACGATCATGAAAATTACAATAGTCATTCTAATTAAATCAGTCTATTTTGGTTCCACTTATTTTTCAGTCTCTGTGTATCGTTATGCTAAAAATCCTGTTGTACCCCGAAGCAAAATGAGCATTTGTAAATTATTAATGTAAGGGTTTGCAAATCAGTTTACCCGAAATGGGGAGCTACAGTTCTAGATCCTGATTCTCTATTAATACTTGTCACTTTTTCTTGAAAATACTATATATTCCTTGCAGAGGAAATTTCTGTATTTTAAAAGTCTGGGTGCGGAGCATGAGGAAAGGACTTGATAAAGCTTTTAGATATATAAAAGCCATGAATTAAATATTTGACTTGGGGATGAGGCACGAGAGCCCAGATGACAGTGCAAAAGAAGCAGTGGGCGGATCAGAACATTAAGGTGGGCGCGGGTGCTCCGGGAGCATGAATGTGTCAGACGGAGTCCAGTACAAGGCATAAATACGTAGAGGAAAGCCGCAAGCAGGTGGATCTCTGCCTTTCCACCCACTCAAACGTCATCGCTTTCGTAATCGGTGCATTAGGTGGGGCACAGGGACCCCGTTCAGGCCAACCTAGATTTGTCCGTTTCCAGTCTGAATTCTGCCATCTGCTGTTGCCCTCAGTAACCCGATTCGTCCAAACTAAAATCTGCCCTTAGCAAAGAGAATCGGTGATACAACAAGTTCTCTTCAGCTTTGAACTCTTTCCTCGCATATCTTTAAAAGGCCTGCTAATCCGCTAGTTTCCAGAACACGCGGAGAGAAAACCGAACCCAACCCGGGCACCCTAAAAGCCAACGTGGCCATAAGCAGAAAACGAAGGTCCAAATTCCACCAATAATTTGGGCCGCTACCCCGCCCACCAATCCTGCCAGCCAATAATCTTCACCACTTTTCCGCCACACCCGTCCCTTCTTTCGGACGCTACCGAGGCTCTGGTCGCCTCCGCGCCGTACCACCGCTGTATATGCGCCCCTCCTACGCTCCGCTAGAGGAGAAGGCCTTCTGCCCTTTTTTCCTGAAGGCTGAGGGAACGACATCGGCTACCACTGGAAGCTCGAGACCCCAAAAGTTCGTCTCACAAATAGCGGGGCGGGGGGAAGGAAAGAGAAAGGGCTGCCCAGGACTCCCACTGATTTCGTTTTCCTTAACCCGGAAATGGTTCTCCTCTGTCTCCCCCTCTGCTGTTGAAAAGGGAAGAGAATGACGGCCAGGTCTGGCCCGTCATGCCCTGGGCTTCCGGTGACCTCTGGCCCTTTTCTGTCGTCCGCTCTCGCTTCCTAGTGTGCTCGCTAGCTCACTGTCTTCCTGCTCTCCCTCCGTTTTCTTTCGCACGCCGCCTGGTGACTGTGGCGCCCGCGACCAGGAGAGAGACGGTGGCGTAGGACACTCGTGATGGCCGCCTCTAAGCCTGTGGAGGCGGCGGTGGTCGCAGCGGCTGTGCCCGGCTCCGGGAGTGGGGTGGGCGGTGGCGGCGGCGCGACTGTGGGCCCGGGCACCGGGGGCCTGCCGCGGTGGCAGCTAGCGCTGGCTGTCGGGGCGCCCCTTCTGCTGGGCGCGGGTGCCATGTATCTATGGAGTCGGCAGCGGCGGCGCCGGGAAGCCGGGGGCCGAGGCGACGTCGGCGGCCGGAAGCGCAACAGTGAACGAAAGACCCCCGAGGGCAGGGCCAGTCCCGCCCCGGGCACCGGACACCCCGAAGGCCCCGGTACTCACTTGGAAATGGTGAGAAGCAGCCCCGGGCAATGGAGGTGGAACCCGGCGGGTGCAGCCTTTCCTGGGCTGGATGAGTTTCCTATCGGACGGAAGCTGCCAGGGTGCAGCCCATGGGTTTAGGGAAGCTAATCTCTGGCTGCCTTTATGGGGAATGGAGAACCCCGAGGGCACAGGTTGGCGATATTCTTCGACAGTTCACTTTTGGTTTCAGAAAAATAATTTGCTTTTCTTAGTGACACAGCGTTTATCCTTAGTGTTTGTGGGTACGGGGATCATTTGCAAGGTGATCATTGTGTTTAGTGAAGGAATCTAGTTCTATTAACGATTGGTACATTGTGATTGATACAACTGACTTTCATTATTTACAAAGTGTAGAACTGAATCGGCAAGAACTTTATAATAAGGAGCCACCCCATTTTTTAAAATGTTTTAGGGTGGGTGTTAGGTAAATAGAGTGACTGTTGGTTGACAGTAAAATGGTGTTCAAGTAGCATCTGTTTTTTCTTTTTTTAAATTTTTTATTAAGGTATGATTGATATACACTCTTTTGAAGGTTTCACATGAAAAAACAATGTGGTTACTACATTTACCCATATTATCAAGTCCCCACCCATACCCCAATAGCATCTGTTTTTTCATCTGTGTGAGCTCTTAAACTTTTTGGGTAGAAACATCTTATATTCATTTTTATGTTTTACCTGGACACTTATATGACCAAGACTGACAAGCATGACACAGATTCTCTGACTTGTTAGGCCAAGCATCAGAGTATCTGGTGAACTGCTTTGTATGGTTTTGTTGAACTGGCTTATTAAATCCTTTTGGTATCTGACAACTGTACCGGGAATTAGCCTGGCTGCATTAAATAATAGTGGGATAGGGTGGGGTGCAGGATTTTCTCATATTTGGGTTTGTACATTGGTAGTTTCAGAGTAAATCACAGTTCAGAGAAACCTTTAGTCAAATAATTGACAGTTATATATATTTACAAGTCATTTCCACATTATACTACTTAAGTTGAAGACATGTTTTTACCAAGTGGTGACATAAGCTTTAATGGAAGTTTCGATGTGGGAAGTGCCTACTGTATGTCAGGCATTGTGCTATGCCATGAGAGCCAGATAATCTTTCTAATGGGAGAGTAAAATATTGCCCTTTTAAGTATAGAAAAGATGCAGTACAGTATGCTGGAGGAACCCATGGACTGAGAACTAGGAGATGTGCACTGTATATTGGGCTTTCTAGCATAGTTATCATGGGAAAGTCATTTCATCTCTTTGACCTTAGTGTTATCACTGTAAGATAAGAGAATTAAAATATCAGATCTCTTATATTTCTTTCAGCCCTAAAAATTGTGATTCTGTGTGCTGCTGATGGAAATGGTAATCAGGGAGATCTTTGAATTAGTAAATCATCACTTATCTTACGTCATTTTCACATGTCTGAAATTCTGTGGTCATTTCCTATTTCATTTGTTTAATTTTAATCGCAGAAGAATAGTAGATGAATGAAAAATACATAAAAGTTCTCAGTTCCATAATAATCACCAAAAATAAGCATAATTTTTATATATGAAACTCAGTTTTGATATTTAATTGCCTTTTCAAATATCCCACATCCTCCTGTTTGGCATTTGACAGAATTTGTCAAACAGATTTTAAATTTCCTAAAATTCTGTTTTCAGTTTTTCAGCATTGTCAGGGTCAACAGTGTGATGATTTTTAAATTTCATGGTGTTTTGTAGTTTTATCAAAACAACTTTTTTATTTGCCTGACTGCCATTAAAAATTAGGCTTTAAGATTGACTTCTTTGTGTAATGTCAGCTGCTTTAAAATGATTTATTTGGCCCCAAAATAAACCAAAACACTTGTATATACTGCTGTTTATCTTGTGGAGGTTGTGGGCTTATACCTGTAATCTCCCTTTCAAATTACTAGATGATTCTTAGGTAACACAATAGTAACATTGTCTTTGCCATTTTTAGTGGAAACTGGCATTTTAACTGATTGTAACCAGTAAATGCTGAAAGACTATTTTTTATTTTCTAGGCAGCCCTTAGAATTATTATTGTACTATAAATATAACTGACCACTGATTGTAATTGACTTACTATCTATGGTTGGAGAATATGCTTTTTATTTGAATAGTACCTTTAAATTGTCAACTTAAGTGTGTTTGGTAAATAAGGGATATTTGTTTCAAGTGATAGAAAAGCTGGCACACTCCTGATGCCCTAACTGTTTTTTCTGCACCCAGGCAATAGTTATAATTTGTAAGGGAAAGGACAGACTCTGTTCAGAGTTTGATACCATTGTATAAAGTGGAAAATCAGTGGTTTTGTATGTTGGCTTATATTTGCCTTAATATAAAATGAACTAATAAAACCACTAGGCTTCTATCAAGTTTGAGATTTTCATGTGCAATGTAGACTATATCCAATTATCTTTTTTCTGTAATAGCAAACACTTGTAAAGCAAAAACAAAAAACTCATTTTTTTTTAAATTAATGGGAATTTTAGGATTTCACTAAAGAAAATCTACATTTTACAGCATTTGAGATTGAGGTACTTGAACTTTAAATCCTATTCCATTTGGGGCCATTATTTTTAAAAAATCTACCATTTTGCTTCTGGTACCTTTTAAAAAAACTTGAAGAATTACAGATTTTCAAAATTGGAAAAGTTCTTTGAACATCATCTTATCCAGAGGGCTTCTTAGTCTCTGGGCCTGAGTTATCATAAAGGCCCCCACCACCACCACCACATAACCGCTAAGCATGGTATCGAGGCTGTACAAAAGTCTCAAGTGTTCCTTTTTTTAAAATAACCTGTTTTTTTTTCTTAATGTGTGTTTATTTAAAAGTATTATTGACTTTATAGTAGCTTCTTGTCCAGTTTTTTAATCTGATTTTTTAAAATATTTATTCTAGAATTCAAATATTTTTAGGAGTTGCACAGGAGTTATACCACATGAAATATTTAGAAACCATTAATGTAAGCCTTCTAGAATGAGAATGGAGAAATATATGTAAACATTTTAATAAAGGGAATCAAAGACTGAGCAACCTGCTGCTATCAGTCATGTTTGAAATGAGATAATGCTGTCCTCCCAAATGATCGGTTTCTAGTCATTTTTAAAAATCGGGGTCATCAATGACGTTTCTATATAATTAAGTGCAATGAACACCTCATTTTTTATTTTATCCTTGGCAGTATTTCACATTGCCTTCTTTTAATTTCATAACTTTTCCTGTGGCTACTGAGACTACTTTGAATTTCTTTGCTTTTTAAGAACTTGCTGATACCTCCCCTTCTGATTCTTGTCAGTCTCCTTTCCAGGCCCTTTTCTCTGCCTCTTCTTTTTGGTGACTGTGGTTCTCATCATAGGCATTCTTATGCTCTGTACCTGCACTGGATGCTTGCTAACCGTGCGGCAGCCTTTCTTATCACTTATATACTGATGGTCCACTATCTTATTGATAGCCCAGACCTCTCAAAAGGCCCAAATTTGAAGGGGATCTTCACTTCATTGACTGCCTCACAACTATTTTATACTCAGACTCCTGTTTTTCCTGAGACTACCCCTTACCAATTATTGTGCCTCATCTAACTGATTTCTAAGCCAGAAACTTAGATATCATACTTTTTGCTCCTCTCATGTTCTCCACATCCAATCTAGAAGAATATCCAGAAAATTTTTGCCTTAAATATCTGGCCACCACATTCCTACTGCCCTTAATTCTTGACTAAATAACTGCTACTCTCATTATTGTCTTACTTCAATTTATTTGTCACTACCAGCGTAAATTCTGACTATCACATGCTTAAAACCTTTAAGTGCTGTTCCATTCACTGCCCACAATATAAAGTTCAAACTCATCAAGACTTAAAACCCTTCACAAACTTGATCCTGCTTACCTCTTCAGCTTCATCTGTTGCCACTTGTTGTTTCTCCCTTTGGATGTTCTTTGAACAGGTGCACAATACCCCTACCTTCTCATCCTTCAAGTCACAATGTGTAGGTCATTTAGCCTTTCCTGGAACCTTTCTCAGCCTATGCACACCATTATGTGATTACATAACAATTGAACTTTCTCCTCCCATAGTAGTAATTACGTGGTACTCTTCATATTTTTCCCACTGTACTCGAATCTATGAAGTCTGGGATTGGCTGGCTCTATCTTTCTCACCACTGTATTTTTAGAACCTAATACAGTGCCTGCCACATAGCAGGTAGAGTGAATGAGCCAGTGAACCTTTATTCTTTAACATCAGGTAAGTTTATATGTGTATGTATTTTGATTTCACAAGTTGGGTATTTTTTCAAAATATTCAGTTTTTTTTTTATTCTACCAGTTGATCCTAGAAATTGGTTTGCCTCATTTAGGCATTCTTTTTATAAATCACTTGGTCTTCCATGAACTACAACCATATTACTACAGAAGCAGTATTCTTAAAAGAGAGTTCTTAGGTAAAAAGTGTTCTGTATTCTGATTTAGTAGGTGGGGCTGGTTGTAGATATAAAATCTTTCAGAACATAACATGGGAAAGGACTTTCTTACTAGGTATTTTCTTACCATTCTAGGTTTGATTCATATAAATTTAACAGTTGGTCAATTAAGTATTAAAAGATATTTCTCACTCAGTATAGGTGTTCCAGAGTTGATTGTTACTTTTATAAAGCTGGGATTCAAATTTGAAAATAAAGCTTTTGGAATTTGGTAAACTTGAGTGAATAAACTCATTTAAGAGGAACATTATTGAACCATCTTGTATATTTTTTAAGTTTTCTAAATGCAATTGTGATAATGTTAATAACTATTTTATTTTCTCATACACAGATTAATGTACCTAATTGTAGCTAATTTTCTTTCACAGTGATCATCTGAAAAATCTTTTATAAATACTTGCTAAGAATTTGTAATAATACCTTATTGCCAAATGTTTATCCTTGAAAGCTTTCTTCTGTAATGTAGGCATGTTACATTGTAGGACTTGTTTTAGAGCTC